ATCAATATGCCATGTATACATAATATGTACTCAATAGTCTTGGGTACATCCATGCCATAGAATACTACTTTACAGTAAAAGAGAACAAACCATTGGTACATGCAACAACTTGAAAGGATAGATCTCAATCCTTTCAGCCAATCTCAAAAGGTCACACATGCCGGGCCATGTGGATCAGTCAGTGGTTAAGCATTAACCCAGGAACCAGGAAGTTCCTGGTTTGATTCCCAGTTAGGGCACATGTCTGGGTTGCAGGCTTGATCCTGGGTGGGGGGGCATGCAGGAAGCAGGTGATTGATGATGTTTCTCTCATCAATGTTTCTATCTCTCTCCCCTCTCCCTTCCCCTCTCAAAAAAAAAATCAATACAAACATAGACATATATTTTAAAAAGTCACACACTATATGATTCCATTTACAGGACATTCTCAAATGACAAAATTATAGAGATGGAAAACAGATTAGTGGCTGCCTAGTGTCATGGATGATGTGGGGGAGGTGACAGGTGTGACTTTATAAAGGGATAGCACAGGGAGATCTTTGTAGTGATGAAGCTGATCTACATCTGAAGTATGGTGGCGGTTACACACATATACACATGTAATAAACTGACATAGAACTATATACTCACACTGTCCAATTCCTGGCTTTGATATTGAGCTCTAAATATAATATAAGCACTGGGGAAATGGGTTAAGGATACACAGGATTTTCTCTGTACTATCTTTGCAGCTTCCTGCGACTCTACAATTATTTGAAAATGAAAAGTAAAAAATAACAATATCCAACTTCATATTTAGCTACTAAACATGTACATTGTCTATCTAATTTTACTGAAGTTAAGGACAATCTGTAAGTACTGAGATAAAGTAAATTCCCAAAAACTATTTCACCTAAAAATATCTCAGAGCTAAGTGGCTTTTAAAACCTAACTATAATAATAAAAGCATAATATGCTAATTAGACTGGACAGACTTCCAGACAAAGCCGGGCTGTGAGGGCCGAGCCCCTTGCACAAATTTTGTGCATCAGGCCTCTAGTAAGCATGATAAAGAGCAATGATCTCTGGATATGGGGATTGAGAACATGAGTGATGGGAGGGGAGTTATATTTTCAATTATCTACTTTTGCACCAAGCAAATTTTAACCATATCTGTATACTACTTTATTATTTTTATTAAATAGAATATAAAAGGATTTTTATAAAATATAAGGAATAAAGAATTATGATATGACCTTTCTTAAGAACTCAATTTAAGAAAAAGAACATTGTTACTATTAGTTTTCAAGTCTCTTGTATATCCTTTTTCATTTCCATTACATTTGTTGCCTCTTAGAGATGACCAATATCCTAAACTTTGTGTTTATCATTCTCCTGCTATTCTTTATAGTTTGACTATGCTTGCAATTCTAAATAATATATTATTTAATGTTGCATGCTTTTAAACTGAATATAAATGGACTCTTACTGCATATATTTTTCTGTGAATTGTTTCCACCCCACTGCCCACTTAACACTATGGTACTGAAATTCATCCATGTTATTGTATATAACAAATTCATATCCATTGCTATAGAATAGTCTATATAAATATACCACAATTTATCAAACAGACCAATATCCAATGTGTATAAAAAGAAGAAAAGAAGGTAGGGATACTGGAAGTGGAAAAAATAAAGCATGTCTGAGATTATAGATACTTATGTCTAGACATACACAACACACACAAACATATACAAACACATACAGTATATATCCCATTTGATATAAAATATCAAAATCAAAGAATATCTATTTGGTGATATTCCTATACTTAAAATGGCTCTAAGTGATATAATGTCTTTATACCAAACTTTTTGCTTATATATAAGGCTGGGATTGATTTTTATGTATGGTAATGATGATAATATAGGTGCCCATAAGAAGTATACAAGTGTTTTGGTTACTCCACATTTTTTCCATGCAAGTATTACTTTTGCAGTTAAAACACACACACACACATAAATACAAGTATTTTATAGTGTTTTATTCTAATAAGTATAAACCAAATAAAATTAGAACTCTAAAAAAATATTACAGTCCTTCTATATAGTACAATATATAATTAGTTATTTTACTATCTAATCACAAATACAATATTACTTAGCAAAAAATATAAACAGAAAGCAAAAGCAAGAAAATGAAGAATTACATAAAAGAGAAAAATGAATGGAAAGTGTACATTTGTAGAAACATAACTTTCAGAAAGCACAACTTACCTCTAATGTTGAAATTCCAACCTTTTCTGAAGACCTGTTCAGAAATAAAAGCAAGTTGGCATTGAATAGTGCAGGTGAGAAGGAAAATACTTCTATACACAAAAAAGTCTACATTTTAAAAAACATGTATTTATTTTGTGACTGAAAAAAGTCCCTGTGCATATAGAAAAATGTAGTAAACACATAAAGAGAAGAAAATTAAACTGACCCATAATCTTACCACATAGAGATATATTTTTTTGTCTTCCCAGATATATACAGGGCGGGGGCAAATGAAGGTTTACAGTTGTTCATATGGAAAATAATACAATCTATAATAATAAAAACATAATATGCTAATTAGATCAGAGAGCCAAACGATCTTGATCTTCCGGATGTCCTTCTAGATGTCGCCGCGGCAGGGGTGGCCAAGGCAGAGGCAGTTAGGGGCGATCAGGCAGGCGAGCAGTTATGGGTGATCAGGCAGGCAGGTAGAGTGGTTAGGTGCCGGGAGCCAGTCCATCCTTGCTGTTTCAAGGGACCTGGCGTATATGGCATACTGTTCTTAATATGTTTGCTCACCTTCTTGGAGCTATGTGTTAACCAAGGTAACCTCTCCGAGAAAGGTTGTTTCCCCAGGTAGGGATTTTCCCCTGAAGTTAGGGAGGGAATAATACCTCTT